CACGCTGCGCATAGTGACCGGCAAATAGCAATGCTCTGCGGGTGACCACGTGACACCGTGCAGCTCATGCGCGACTTCAGCAGTCAGAGCCGGCGTGACTCCGACACCAGGAATGACGGCATTGATCTGCTCTGGCGTAGGGATCAGGGTAGTTGATGCCGACCCTGAAACACCCAAATGCCATGCCCCTGCCACACTGTCCTCCTCCTGCTGCTGCAGCTGCTGCGACGTCCCGTCAGGGCCGGTGTCTGGACGGCTGTCTGGACCCGCTGGAGGAGCCTGACATGAGACATTGCAATGTGCTGACGGCTGACACGCAAACTCACTCCTGCCGTGTATTATCTTGTTATTATTATCATTACTGTACTAGCTGACACCGACCCTGAAACACGCAAATGCCATGCCCCTGCCACGCTGTCCTCCTCCTGCTGCGACGTCCCATCAGGGCCGCTGTCTGGACGGCTGTTTGGACCCACTGGAGCAGCCTGACATGAGACATTGCAACGTTTTGACGGCTGACACGCAAACTCACTCCTGCCGTGTATTACCTTGTTATATAATTAGCTGACACCGACCCTGAAACACGCAAATGCCATGCCCCTGCCACGCTTTCCTCCTCCTCTGGCTGACTGCAGATGACTGACTCCACCTGCTTTCACGGGACAGGGCTATTCAGAACGGCCACAGCTACATTCAAAAAGAAATGTTAGGTTACTTAACATCAGAGCATCGCGCCTGCGGCGTCTCCTGACCTTGGGATTGGTTCGACTCCTGACAATCGAGGTCGTAGAAGTCAGGGTCGTACACATAGGTCGGCAATTCAAACGACGCCCGGTAGATCTCCAGGAACTGAGTCGAACACATCAAAGCAGCGCTGTCAAGAGTAAAACCTATACTATATGAGCCCAAATGGATTGCAGCAGAAGCACTCGCTCCGCAAGGCTCATGAATTGCTTCCACCGCTCGGAAGCAGCGTAGTGGCTGACACAGGGACCTGAGTGCTTCTGTGCTGAGTTGCTGCTGACGACGAGGCACCATGCAACCTGGACACCCCCATCCCGTGTTCTTGGGAATGTGTAGTTGTCGCTGGCGAAGCGGAACTCGCCCGAAGAAGTCACGTAGTTTCGGAGAATCCTTGCCGTGACCTCGACACGCAGGGATGCTTAGCTTCGTGCCATGTGACATGTGAAAGTGTTTCATAGACTCCTCAGTACATTTAGTCATGACTGTAGTCCCAGGCAAGACACATTCGACATAGAATGCTGACTGCTGTCATCCTCCATGAAGTCCAGGACGGATTCGCTGTCTTCCGCCCAGTCTCGACTCAGACTGCAGTGCACGGGGGGGAGCACCGAGACCCCTCCAGCCTGCAGTGTGTCTTCTTCTTCTTGACTTAGTACAGGTAAGGCCCTTTTCTAACGAATTCAGTTTGCGTCGTGCAGACATGAAAAATAATACATATGTAGCGAGGGACAGCCAAGAAGACCCAGAGCATCATCCCCATGGTGACAGCGCGATGTGCCCCGGACCTTTGTTGTTGAGTTGTTTGTCACTCCGAAAACACGACAGTCAGGTCTGCTGAGCTGGCCGAATCCATCATGTCAACACCGTGCTGGACAGTTTGAACACCGACGACCTTCCAAGTAAACCTGCAATCAAGGGACGGGCTGGTCATGATGATCAGCGACCCAGGCTGGTTGAGCATCAGGCGCAGGACCGGGCAAAAGTCTGGGTGCACCATGACCTTTTAATTAGTTTAATTACAAGTTGAAACACTGCTAACTATGCACATCACTAACTAAATTAGAAATGTTCTGGTCAAGACTAGCTGCCTTGGCAGGATCGTCCAACCCAGACGGAACTTGCCATGGGCTCTGCGCAAGACCCTGCCACAATGCCCTGCAAGGTTTAGGGTTTTTATTTTTTGGCCTTCCGATACCTAAGAAACATAATCAAGGAGTCTAGAGTCTAGAGTGTTGGGTTTAGGGGCTTTCTTGTGTAGTCCGAGTCCAAGTCGCCCCGGCATCAGCCACTCCATGTTGAAGTGTATGACATTGACGTCCCGTCTATGCGACAGCCGACACCAAATATCGCCAGGATGCCGATGTGTATAGCCCTGCACCTGTACTTAGCTTGTCACCCTGGCATGCAGTATAATAATTACAGCTGGTTCTAATAAGAATTACTAATTAATTAAATTTAAATACCACGAGTTGAAAATGTTTCCAAGCACCCCTAAGTCACGACCGACGCGCTGTACTCCGTGCCACCGGAGGACATCGTCATGATTGCAACCCTGGCTCCGGCGTGGTCCTGGCGGACAGGACCGAACTAATGAATTCACAAGGTCACCATCATCAGAACGACTAACAGAAAAATTAGAAAAGGTCACCAAACTATGTTCCTAGGATATAACAATTATTAGTGGCGATCCTGGGCTAAAGGTTTGAGAACCATGTCCTCCCAGTTCTGCAGCAGGAGCCTGGCCTCACGCATGTCGGCCAGGGTGGTCCGGACATTGTAAGGCCTGAGTCGACCACTGGCCATCCGACCCTGGTCATTGGTGCCGTCGACCGTTCGACCCTGCTCATTGGTGCTGTCGACCACCGAAGTCATCGGTGGTTTTCCTGAGCTTGACAACAGACAGATGACAAGTGTAGTAATCAATTCCCAAAGACCCCAGACATTAGAACAAATGTGGGCTACGCTAAACCATGGATATTGCAAAGGCTTGGTCTTGCTGCGGTGGGCGAGATTCTGGGAGAAGGTCGAGATGATCGACTTGATGAACCAACCGTTCGGGTTGTTCTTCCTGTTCCTCTTGCTCTCCCTAACAAGATCCCGACAGCTGGCGGGATCTAACTCGTGGAGGAGAGCCAGAGCCTCAGCCGTGTTTCATGTTATGTTCGTGCGGTCTGTCTGTCACTCTTCTTTCTCTCCTGTCGATTCTCTGTCTGACAACTAAATCACATNNTGAAGTCCCTCCTCTGCTACAGTCTAATGTAGCAGAGAGGCTTGAACAGCTCCGCGACGCAGACCTTGCTGCTCGACCTCGTTCTTGACCTCGTCCGGCAGGCCGTCGAAGCCGACGCTGGTGTTCCCCTTGTCACCAGGGCGGATGTCCATTCGGCGCGGGGCACGCTACCGTCGACAAAGACCGGCTGTGAGAAATGTTGCACGACTGCTCAAAGCTCAGCAATATCATGGAGAGTCCAATTGAACATGTCTCACAAAAATAACTACCATGCAATGCGCACTTCACTTCAGGAGCTGACAACTGACCACTGACAGGGCTGACACCGTCTCTCCTTGATGCTGACAACGACCACTGGCAATCACAAGCTCAGGCTGACAACGGCTGACAGCTGACTGACGTGTTAATCAAACTGACACTCACACACTACACTGCATGTCATGTTCCGTGAGACATGAGCTGGCAGCTGCATGCAACGCAATGCAGCAAGGGATGGGGGGGAAGCACCTGTAAAGGAGATCGCCCTCGCCAAGGCGGATGGTGTCTGCTGCTTCACGACCTCAGGAACAGAAATGACTGTTGACCAAGTAAGAGGCAATCACAAGCATGCTGACAGACTGACCGCAGAAGTGAGTTGCCGACAGCAAAACAGGAACACTGCATGTCGTGTACTGACAGTCATGACATGACAACGGATGAGTCGCTGACCACGCCCACGACCACCATCCGACCTCACGCGCAAATCAATGCTGAATGCCAATTTTTTAACTCACATGCAAGCGGCTTTTTTTTCTCACAATCAATCTCCGCCTCCGACAGCCGACTTTCACCGGTCAACTACAATCTCATCGCTACCCCCCGGCGACCCAGACACAGTGTCACTGTCACCGCCGTCAAAATCCTTGTGCAGAACACGCATGCTGGCGACGGTCTGCACATCGAGGTCGGTTCTGATGCCTTCGAATCTGCTCATCCGCGACGTCCGCAATCTGACAAAGTGCAATGAGAAACCACTCCTCAGAAGCGACACCGGAGTGTCCCACGGCACAAACCTGGCGTTGGGCGGGTGTCTGCCTGTGTCGACGTCAGACAGCTCCAGCGACACCGGCGCGACGTCTGACGGCAGCAGCATGTTCGCGTCCTTACAGCGGGCTAGCAAATTTACAGGACTCAGAACTTTCACTGCCTTCTGCTATGCTTGTTGTCAAGCGACTTCAGCTCCATCGCCGGTGACGACGNNCGTCTGGAAGAGGATCCCTAAACCCAACCTGGCGGCAGCACCGACCAAGCACATCCACTTTAAATTTGATCTCTTCAGTTCCTATATGTTATTTAGGAGCATTGGCCTGATAGGCTGCCAGTCGCTCGTCAGGGCCATACCAGTGAGCCATGTCGAAGTAGGAGCCGATGTCTTCAACCATCTTGGGTCAACAAGATTGCCCCCCCAAACCCGGGCTCTGACCTCACTGTCTTTGAACCCCTAATTAACAACTGCTTATTTGGCGATGGGGGGCCGTGTCGGGGTCGGCGAGCTCCAAACAAGCGTTGCTGCCCGCGGGGGTCACGATGTTCACGACGACCGCCCGACGCTCCGACATCGACATGACGACACCGAAAGGGGCTTCTAACATCCCAGGGCGACACTGGCTTGAGCTGACGGCTGCGTCAATTTTGTTTGCAAAGCCGCTCAAGGTGCCATGAAGTGTCAAGCTCACTGCAGGAATCTAATCACTGAGGCCTTGGCTGATGGCAAAGTTCCGGAGGTGCTCGGTGATGACCCGGCTGTGCTGACTGATGGTTGACTGACGGCTGACTGCTGACGCTGACAAAAGCTGAAGAATCATTGCTACAATGAAAATTCAAACCCCCGCCTTTCGCCCAGTCAACTCTCCCATCCCATCCCCCCTTTTTCCGTAATCTTTTTTCATATATGTTTTCGGGCTCCCAGTGAATATTCAAATCCCTGCCTGTCGCCCGGTCAACTCTCCCGTCCCATCACTTTTCCCGTATGACTTTGGGCTCTATATCAACTCTCAATCAGCTCCTCATCAACTCCATTTTTCCTTAAAAATCAACTGTAAAAAGAAGTTTTCGGAAACACCCCATTGACCCCTTAACGCAACAGTCTGCTTGAGGGTCGGTAACAACTTGTCCCTCAGCGGTCCGAAGAAAATCTCCAAACCACTCTTGAGTTCTCCATGGAACTCCTTGAAGGCACTCACCGCAGGGGCCGCGTCCGTGCGTGGCTGAGCAGCTTCCTTGTTCTCCTTGGACCTGTTGTCATCTTTGTCAGGAGGTCCCGGAGCCTCCACCGGTGTAGAGACCACTTTGTCGTCCCCCGGCAGCTCCTTGACCGGCTCTGCTGTCTTCACCTCCTTTGAGCCTGTGTCTGCATCCGTTTTTTTGGCAGGTGCTGACTGCCGATCCTCCTTCAGCTCGCCCGGCGGCGATGCCGGAGGCGGCAAGGGGGGCTCGTCACAAGACTCCGGTGGTGAAGAGTCCGGGGACTTCGCGGCGAGTTTGCGGGTCTTGCGCTTCTTGTTCCCGCAGGTATGCCACAGGAGTAAGAGAGCAAGCAAGAACCACGGCAAAATCTTGGGCAGATGGGGGGCCATCTCGGTGACGACCTTGTCCGCCCATTGTGCATGGGTAATCAGCATCTCAGTGTCCTCGTTTGCATCTGGCCTCGAGGCCGAGGTTCTGCTCGCAGTACCTCTGGGTTGCCTAAGCGGTGCCCCAAAGTCCATGGCGATAGCAGAGAGTCGGCGGTCGAAGCTCGAGGGCAAGAATGCTCACCGGCAACATACAAAATCCACAGTTATGTAGGGGGAAAGCACTCACACCTAGGCCTCCAAGCAACATTGTTCCCGAGAAAGCAAGAAAGAAGCATACACGTCAAAGTTCCTAATACGCTTCAAATCGGAAGTCTGTTTCTCAACTCACAGTGCAGTCAAGGGCAGTGCGGCAAGGTGCCT